GTGATGAGAGACGGACGTGTCCAGCCGAACAGCCCGTCCGTCGCCGTGAAGAGGCGAACGACTGGTTTTTAAGTCAGCACTTGTAACGTCGTTTACTGCGAGCTGAGACGACAGAAGTTAAACGCTCAATAATTCCACAACCACACTAAACAGTCATTGCGTTAAAGAAAAGTGTAAATAAAGACGTTAAAGAAAAGTGTAAATAAAGAAGTTTCTATTCAGGTGTTTAGTTCACAAACACCCGGACTGACTGACCCCCCCCAACTACCTGCTGTTTAATTTTAAATGACCTCTGTGAAGAGGTATCATTCAGCGCAAAGACGGGTTAGAGTAAATGAACGCTTAAAATGACGAGCCTTTGTAAAACAAGTTACATCTCTGTCGTTCCTTCTTCAAAGCGCTTTTTTTTTTCTGGAAGCGCGCGTGCACTGCAGTACAGGAGATCGCAGCTTCGTGAACGCGACCGAGCGCAGCGCTTCAGAGCGGAGATACTTGTAGTGATTTCTTTTGAAACAGTTGGGAGCACAAGCTCCTCGGATCGTTCCCGCTCATGTTACCTCGGTTTTAGGGCATCATCATCATGCAAGAATAAGCAGATCCTACAACACCCGAGAATACAACATTGGTGCACCCCAGCATTGAAGTTATGAGTCCCACAGAACAGTGTAGGCGCTGTGTAATGCAATTCAGATCAGCACGTCAGACCTGCTATTTAAGAACTCCGAAACCAACTGGACGATTCGGAAAGCGGACCGTAAACTCAGGAGACAGGTTAAACATCTAGAGTGGATCTTTCCAGAGTCTGTCTCGTGCTTAAGGTTACTGCCTAGCGCGCTGAATACAGTTACATTTTTCCCAGTCGACTATAGCTACTCGTCCGAGTATACACGAGGAGTTCACAAAACCAATAGCTCAACAACTCGCAACACTTCCAAAATCCTGAACGCTACCTCAAGCGCAGTTAATTTTAGAAACACTTATTTGATTCTAGCCTTATATCCGGCATTCCCCTTATTAAGCACAATGTCTAATATCTCTTTAAAACGTATTCAACAATAAGCAACATCTTTTATGCAGGTCAGTCCAAAACATTGGAAATGATCATTTAAAAAGAGAACTTTCGAGGCTGTTCCAACCCACACAAATGTGGAAGAAAATAAAAGCACCAATCCTCTCCGAGAGAATGATAAAAATCTCCAGGCTAAAAATTAAAGCTCGCGTAAATGCGAAATAAGTAAACCTGTCAAAAAAAAAAGCGCTTTAACAAAGAATACCCCCTCCACGGCCTCTTGTTTTTCTCAATGAAGTGAAACTCGATCCGCGAGCGAGACCCCATTCACACTCAGAAGAAAAAAAAAACAGCCTCCATCCATTCATAAAATCCGACACCCAAAGCTCGCCCGTATCATGCAGTCCGTCTAAAGCAAAAGATAAGATACAAATCAAAGAACACCGATACAGATAAAAGCCCAAAACGGCAATAAATGGTTGTAAAACATGCTAAAAAAGCATCGCGCAACTTCGTGCAAAGCAGCAGAAAATGGTTGCCAAAGTAAATGTTCACTTGGAGAAAATGGCGTTCGCTTTTCTTCCAAGCACTATTTGCAGTTGCGAGTAACTCGGCTGAACTTCGGCAAAACCACGCTTCTGCACCGCAGGCTGTAAAGAGCTCCGGTGTTGTGAAATATTATTTGCATATTATTAAACTCACCTTACGGTGTCGTATTGTCCCCTCTAAAGTACTGAAACAATGCTTTAAAAATCCCACACAAAACCGCAAAGATATCTGCCCACCGCTTAAGCAATGCACACTCTCCGACTGACAAAACTTGAATGAGCTTTTCTCAATGGACGCGCTAGGTTTTCCCTGGGGCTCGTGCACGTCGCTGTCCGAGCTCATTGGTCAAAAGTGAATGTCGATCTCGGCGAGGGAACCAATGAGCTCGCGAAAACTACTGAATAATTCACAAGGCACCCCGCTGTCCAATCGTAGCGTGGGACTGGCCTACTTTATGAATGACTAGGTTTCATTCACGAAAATATGTTTTTCAAGCGTCGCCACTGCGGTCCTTAAAGGGCCAGCCACGTACTCAAAGCGCAAGCACAACAAACCACAAGAAACGTTTGATGAGGTCAAAGAACCAAGAAAGCTCGAAACTCTCCATTCATCGCGTCTCTCGGTAACAGATTAGCATCAATTAACATGCTGACTACTTTGAATTGAACCTGATTTACAGGTAAACTGTTTAAAAAAATACTAATTAGCCCTGTAATCTCTAGCTCTTTAAGTTCCTGAGCTGGGGGGGTTCAGAAAGCTGTGAAAGTGCAAATGCACCATAAAGATGAATGATTTGAACTTCACAGTGCTGATGATCACACTTATCACACCAAGAGGAGATTTCTTTCAGGAACATTGGCCTGTGTGTTTCAAGTGTGTGTGTGTTTCATGAACAGCATTCCCAAAGTGACGAGGCAAAGCTCTTAACCACTGGTACTTTTCAGGGGCTCGTTTCCCTAGACTAGCATTCGGCAGATTTCCTTAGATTTCCTTAGAGATCTCTCTTTCCTTAGAGAGATCGCTCTGAGTGTTTTTAGAACACTTTTACAACTGGCGGAACGGTAAGTAATGAACTGCACGGGCTCACAAAAGACTCACAAATCCAGAGAATCCACACAACCTCACACTGGATTCTCTGGTGTTAAGCGGACTAGAGAGCACGTGACTCTTCCCCTGGGTGGGACACCAGTCCTCACGGTGTCCACCATCTCCATTCACACAGCTGGGGGGGACTGGAGCAGCCAGGGGGGAGTGCCTTGATCAATAACTACAGCAGTGTCAGCAGCGGGGACCCACACCCACGTTCTGTCAGTTTAAAGCCGAGCAGCTCGCCCGCAGTGCTGTGCCACCACCAGTGGAATAAAACTAGGAAATAGTTTTCACAAACAGATCTTGTTTGGATGGGCGGAGGGGGTCCTCGCCTGCTGAGTCTCCCCCACCCAGCACTGGAGGGGGTGCAACTGGGCGCGGTCCCAGCTCTGTGCCCTCTGACCCCAGACCTCCAAAGGCTCCTTTCTGGGCTCTGGGGGATAGGGGCTTGAGGAAAGTGGGCGCTGCGTGAACCGGCCACGTCCGAAAGAGTTCTGATCGCTGGACCCCAGGGGTTACTTAAAGAACGGGAGATCCAGCAGTCTCCGACGTGCGCAACGCTACCGTTTCAGACTCCCCCGCGCCAGGCGGACTGCGTTCTGGCTGCCGCCTCAAACGAAGGCAACAGCAAATGGAAATGACAGCTTCTCTGTGGCACACTGCTTCCCTGGTCATTCTGCAATCGATTTCCTCCAGAAATACTGAAAAACTTTCATGGTACAAAAAATGATTTTGAACAGTCTGTGTTTATTTGGCCGTCCGTCCTGACTTAGGCTGGTGGGGGTGGGGTTAGATGTGCTGCTTTTCCTTTCAGCCCCAGAAATGCGACGCTGATGAGCTCGTAACCCAGGGGCCCATAGACTCCAGCACCGTGTGTGTGTCTGTGCCAGAGAGCGAGAGTGTCCTTGAGCTTGCCCTGCGCCGCGGCGACAGTCACAGGTCTGCGGTGCAGTGCCTTGTGGGATGTGGGGACTGGGTCAGTGTGACATTTAGAAAAAGTGGGAGGCAGCTTTCGCAGGCTGTGCAAAGCCGTTTGAATATTCCCTGCTAGGTTAGTTTTCTAAAAATATCCCGGCCACCAGCAAAAGGCTTTTGAATGATAACATGCAACATTGCTTAAATAAGTCCCAGCATGTTGGGAAGTGCCTGGGGTTATTGGCACAGCTCAGGGAACGTGTAGCCTGTGCTGTTCCTTTGGCTTGTTCAGATTCGTGGAAGACTGTCTCTCTTCACCGACCCTCCCACTCTCGCTGCCCTCACGTCCCCTCGTTCCCACCCCGTGTGTCTCACCTGGTCACGCTCAGCTCTCCCCTAATTTCTGCGTAATTGCTTATTTTCCTGCAGCCAGAATGCCTATTGCCCCTGTCTGAATGTTGCCAGACCTGTCTCAGAAAGTGCCTGCAGTGCGCAAGGCAATAGGTGCATTCCTAATGACAGGCGCGATCTGGCTTGCTGGCTATTAATAGCGCCTTGAAGGATCATTCCTGCCTCATTATATCAACACAGCGGCTGAGGCCTCCGCCACCGAGCCCTTCTCTTCCAACTCCTGCCTTCTCCAAGGAGTGGCTGTCAATCTGGCTGCGCTGCCTGCAGCCCTGGCAGACATTTGCACAGCCAGTGTGCCCCTGCGGCAGAAAGACAGAAGAAAGATGGGAAAATTAGCAAGTGTTTCAGATGGGCGGAATGGCCGGCCAACAGAAAGGCGGTTTTAAATATAGTGTTTTTTTTACTTTTACACCTTCGTTATTACACATCACCTTAGACCCTGCCCTTGGCCAAGCAAGGCTGGACCTGGTCAGTGCAGGGGATGGGAGACCTCTAAGAAAAAAACAGGTTGCTGTTGTAAATGGTGTTTCTGGACCAGTAGGGGGCGATCTCCCCCCTGGACCAATATTTCAGATTCCCCAGTATGAGGACTGGGAGTCCCCTTCTGTAAGAGGTGTCATCCTCAGGATAGGACTTTAAACAGAGCTCCTGACTACTTGCTCATTACAGACCACACTGCACTGTTTTTAAGTCCTTTTACTAGTTCTGTAGTTTTCTAGAGACAGAAAAAATGTACATTTACACACACTTGCATATATGTTCCGTACAGAATACAATGACCCTAGGCACAAAGAAAAATGCAATACTCAAGTCTTATGGACATGATCACGTATTTTAAGGAGATATGAACAAAAATGCTGATCAAATAAGAACGAAAAAAAGCTCATTTGGAAATGAAAGTTAGTATAAGCTAACTTCCCCCTGAGCACTAACACAACCCTGGTCCTGGGCAGACAGCAGGTGGGGGCAACTGGTCACTCCTCCTGAGCAGAGGCAAACAGCTGGTGGGTGTTAATGGGCTGCTGTGTGCTGTAGGTGATGACAGTGGCAAGCTGATCCCACAGATGTTCTGCTGGACTAAGAGCAGGAGAAAACTGCCTTTCCTTGAAGTCTTGCAGATGTTCTGCAGACATCTGAGATGTTGCCTGTCCCACAGCAGGCCTTACCACCTTCAGATCTCAGGAGCTTGACTAGACTGGGCCCGGGCAGTACTGAGGTGGGAGAGCTCTAGGGAAAACCAGGTTGCTGCTGTAGTTTGTGTTAGTGGAGCAGTAGGCGGCCCTCTGGTACACAATTTCCAAACCAAAACCCCAGAATCACTACTGGAGGCACTGTGCCGTAGGAGGTTTCCCATTTTAGATGAGAAGTTAAACCAAAGTCCTGACTACACGGTTATTGAAAATCTTAGGGCTCGTACTCTTACTGTTTGCAAGGCTAGGGGTCCTAACCTCAGTGTCCTGGCTAAATTCCACTCTGGGCTTGTATGGCCTCCATAATGTTTCCCGTTGATTCAGCTGGTCAGATCATCTCTCACAATTCCTGCTGACCCACAGAGCAGTGGGGCTGCTGTGTGTCACCCAAGTGGGGCTGCACATGAGTGGGGGGAGAAGCAGGGACTTTTCAGTGCACAAAGTGCTTTTGTTATCCCAAGAAGCAACACACGTCAAGAAGTCAGCACATCTATTTGCACACCCTTTAAAGTGTGAATTATTTTATGCATGTGCCCCAGGAGCAGCTAATGAAAACTGTAGACTGTTCTGGCAAAGCAATATATAATGCCACACAAATATATAGTTTGTAAAATTAATTCACGAATTTACAAAGTAAGCGTTAATTTACTTTGAAAAGTAAATGAAAATAATAAAGGCTTTTATACGCAGTGAGGTGGAAGGCAGACTGAGTGGGAGACTTTCAACATCTGCCTTTTTAAATATGAATTAATCCATGAATAAGTCATTATGAGCGCAGGATAAATCCCTTGGATTCTCCTGGAACCTACAGCAGGGGAAGATATTCCAGACACTGGGACAAACAGAGTTCCGTCGCTCTTCTGCGACACCGTGAGTCAGTTCCTTTGTGTGAGAAGACAGGGTGGGGGGCAGGGCAGGGCACGTGTGTGGGTGTGTTGGAGCTTTTCTTGCAGGAGGGGGGCCAAGTGGATGTCAGCTTTATTCGCCGCTGTCTGGGGCGTCTAAAGACCGGTGTGATGAGGGTAATGTTTCTTTTCTTTCCGAGTGTGTGTGTGTGTATTACACAGACACATTCTCTGTCTGTGGAGCTACAAAGAACAAGCCAGCGCTTGTGCTCCTCCCCACCATTGACCTGTATTGATCGCAGATTGAAACAAGCTCGGCAGAAAACCTGGCTTATTACCACGGGTGTTAATCTTTTTCGTGAAAGCCCACAACACTGGAGTCAATGGTTTGGAATGAGAAAGAGATTCATACAATTGCAGGAATAGATCCACCAGTTGCCTGTGCGGTTCAGGCTTACAGGTGAACTGTTTTTAGAGTTACTAACTGGTCATCAGAGCGAAAGAGAAGGAACACTTGTATGCACCAATACCTTCAGAAATAAAGCCAGTGGAAAACCCCACAGGGCACTAACACACAAACCAGGACAAGAAGCACATGAGCCTGAGGTGATGTTCATCCGTCTTTTTATTTTGTTCTAAAACGAAGTGGATGCCAACAGCTAACATAAGGAGAGGTGTACAGAGTTAAGCAGATCCTATGCATTGTTAAAACTCAATGAGGAAAACTGCCCTCTGTCCCTGTCCCTGACTGCAACACAGGCAAACAGCTATAAACCACACTACCTGAACGGTGGAGGCTGTTTTAACACACATGTACAATATTACATTCTACATTCAGGAATGATATGGACCCAGCTACTCCTATCACTGAATTTGCTTCAAAGTCTCATTCGCCCCTTGCTTGAAATTCTTCTGCACCACTGTGGGATAGTAAACCGCACTGCTTCTGCACGTCTGGAGCACTTACAGGAGCTGTTAGGAGCAAGTTACCCATCGTAGCAGTGTACAAACAACGCAAATTGAGAGCGAATGCCTTTGGGGTTCGCCAGACCTGTGATAAACAGCAAAGGGAGGTCATGCACGGTAGTATGCATAATTGAGCAGGAAGTGTTCCTGGCTTAAAATGCTCAAAACTAGAAGAAAGTATCAAGGGCTGGATTTCAAGCACTGAACAAAGCACAAGTCAGTGTTTGGGACCAGCTAGTTTGTTTTTGCTCTCTAAGGGTCCCTTAGTGTCGCTATCTAGAAACCAGAGTGGGTACAATTGAAAGGAGGCCATCTAGCCCACCTAGCCTGTTTGGTAGTTAGTGAATAATTGATCTGAGGATCCCCTCCAGCTGTTTCTTAAAGGAAGCCAGGGTATCAGGTTTAACAGCATGACTGAGTAGCTTGTTCCACACTCCCACCCCCTCTCTGTCAGAGCATGGGCAATCCAGAAGCAGCACAGTTTAGCACCACTGCAGGAGCTCTTAGTGCAGAGGTCAAGAACGTCCTCATCGGGCTGAACCGGGAAAACGGCGATGGGCTACAGAACGCCTGCAGCGGACAGGGGACTCATGACAAGTCATTGAAGGCTACGGAGCGGCAGGACTGCGGTCAACGTCCTGTAGCCGCCTCTGCCCTGTGGATGCGCGGTGCAGGTGTCAGGGTTTGCACAGGAGGAACTGTGTGACGCAGACAGGACTCCACATGAACACCAGGACCCTGCCTCCCCTGCTCCGACACCAGAGCAGATACCGGAACTGCTCAGGCAGCGGGGGGGTGGCTGGGGCGGGGCAGCTGGGCCTTATTGCGAAAGAAAAGGGGCAGGACCTCTGGGCAGTGCCACAGCCCTGACAGTGCGGCCCGACGTGACTCCGAGGGCTGGCTTGTGCACCTGCTCTCGTGTTGTTTTTTGGTTGAACGTTCAGTGGATTGTATTGCACGTGTTCTGTTGTCTCCAGGCAGGGCTGGAGTCTTAAGGCTATTGATAATTCACAACAACGACGGTGACGACCACAGCGCGAGCAGGGACGCTGGCAGGAGCCGGGGGAACGCACAGGCACACGATGGCTGAGCGGTCCCACATGGTGAGGGGGCTCAAAGGGGCGTGGAGCCCTTTCCCTGTGCTGCGTCAGCCCCCCCGTCTCACAAGAGTCCTGCACAGAACCGGGCTCTGTTTCCAGTGCTGCTGTCTACAGTGGGCTGAACGTGCACTGATCCGCATGCTGCTGGGAGTCAAATTGCAGGTCCTCAAATGCCAAGCTACAACCTAACATAAAAAGGGTGAAAGAGCAATAAATAAATCCATCAATAAATAAATCACAATGCAGGAGTTATAAGTTGCATAATTGTATACCCATCCGGGGGGGATCTACTCGTTTAAAACAGGAGTGGTATTCATGCCGCACTTGGGATGCAGTGACTAGGGTGGTCTGCAGATTCATCACGGCCCGTGCAGGGCAGGCATGCTGTGGTATGACTAGACGATGCTGATTATCGTTATCTTGTTAATTAGCAGTAAATTCAAGGCTTTGTAAACATGCACTCTACTCCTTGAGCCAGGGCTCCGGCCCAGGTTGTGTGTCCTCTCCGTTCAGTGCGGTTCAAAGGAATCAGGAGCGAGTTCCCGGGGGCGCGGGGCTGGGGGCGGCGCTGAGGGGCAGCACGACGTCGAGCTGAGGTGCCCAGCGAGCTGACCGGTTCCCAGGGGAGGGGGTGAGTGCCAGGGCAGAGAGAGGAAGAGAGGGCAGGGGCTGGCAGTGGAAACAGGAGGGGTTTGCAGAACCTCAGCAAGCTCTGCTCCCTCCTTTCTAAGGCTAGAACTATCCATGCTTCCTCAGACCATGGTACCTTCTAATTGTACCTAATGCTACATGTACTCACAAACACAAGGCGTATACATTTGTACAGCATACATAGATCATCTTGAGCACTTTTTTTTAACACTGATCATTATTTCAAACTGATATCATATCTCCTCACTGGTGGCTCTCGGCAGGTCAAAAGCTGCACAGTGGGTAATTTTTTAGACTCCTGTGTGACCTTCCAGCTGCCTGTGCCTGCCCCTGGTGACTGCATTCGCCACAGTGACAAATACTCCTTGCGACATTGTCTTATCCAGCGTGATCGAGCTACACTGGAGCCACATGGTATCTGAGGTTGCACGGCTTCTCTGAAAGGCTTGATAGTGCCTTCAGTACAGTTAGTGAATACCCGTTGATTCCAAAGTGTGGTAGGTCTTCTGTGTGGTAGTGAAATTAGAAGAATGTCCCGGCTGCATCAACAATTGCATAAAACATGCACGCTTCATTCGTCATCGTTCTGCTCAGCTGAACAAGAAGCGGGACCAGACGAGCTCTGGATCACACAGTCCAAGCTGAGATCCTGTTGTAGTAATCGGCCACAGTAGGGGCCTTCTTCTGAAAGACGTTGGACTGAGGTCCTGCCTATTTTGAGGTCATTTCTTAGGACAGATTCCTGTTTCCGAAAGAGCCAAGTTGTTACGCATGACCAAGCCCGGAGGTTTAGTCAGATATGTTGTACAATAACACCACCTTCAGCTCCCTGTCTCCTCAGCTGATCCTGACAAGCCCACCAAGGCTCGCTGTTTCCTGCCCCGATCTCCTCTTCGTCTAGCTCGGGCAATGATCTGCAGCGGGATGTTCTCCCACTGTGCTCCGCTGCAGAGAGGTTCAGCTCAAGGGAAAGACTTTCATTAAATCCTGTGGCTGTTTTAAGTTTCTCTTCACCTGGGGGGAGGGGGTGGGGGTGGAAGACCTGCTAACATCCTCTGTGTAAGTAGAACATGAGAAAAAAGCAGGTTAATCCTTGGGAGACAGAACTACAGGCCAGTGCCTGTCCGGTTTCATATGCACTCAGTCTTCCTCCAGCAAAAGAACTTTAAAGTGGGAATGAGATTTTCCAGTCCACTGATGGACTGTGAGTGTAGCTAGGGCTTTGGATAACTGTTTTAAAAGCTGGACTAGGAAATCAAATGATAGAAAATGGTAATTCTCTGACACTTGATGTCAGAGATGTCAGTACACTGGGATTAACAGTGCTCTATCCAGAGCATGTGAGCCACTAACCTTCCAGATGTTTGCTAGGCCTCAGGAGAGGGGAATCTGAGAGCAGGAGTAAGTAACAGGTGTTACTTTAGACTATTCTCAGCGTGACCCACAATGGGTTAACATCAGACAGGCAACTGATTATATAAACAAATATTTTAATGAAACCTACTTGCATGCGGCTGTCTGTCTCCCCCTCTCCCCCCACCCCCCCACATTAAATAATTGATGTTTGTTTTTCTTCCTGCTGTGTTTTGGTTCTGGAGTTTACAAGGGCTCTGGAGAGGGACGGGAATAAATACAAAGCATCTACTGATTCATTATTTATTGTTTCTTCAAAAAGGCAAGCTTGTTACCCTGTCTCGTTAGACTGGTCAGACCAGCCCTCCACTCACACCCCTCCCTGCGCCACAATGGCATCGGCGAGGGCAGATCTCTCCCTCACTCGCTCTTTCTCTCCCCTGTCTCTCCTCCCGATGCTCTGTCCCAGCACCTCTGGCGCTCCAGCTCCCCCCCACCCTGATGCTGTGCCCAGTGGGATCTCCGGGTTCCACTCCGACAGCGGATCAGACCTGGGCAAAATCAGTTGCGAGTCCAATCCGGACACATTTACCCCAGCCGGACTGGAGGACGCACGCTCGAGGTGCCTTCGCGGGTTTCCGTTTGGCACAGAGGACGGGGAGAGAGCACGCACGTGGCGTCACCCAGCTGATGGGGTTTGGCTGGGAGGTGAGGGGGCGGGTTTGAGTGCCATCAGAGGTGTGGCAAACCGGGGGGGGCCTGAGGGCCTGGGACACCGGGAATCCACCGGTGTCGTCTCCTTCATGTGTGTGGGGATCAGGGGTGGCTGGTGAGAGCAGTCTCCATCGTGTGTCTGGCAATGGGGCTGCTTTGATACTCTGGAGGTTGGGATGGGGGGGGGGTGCTCGTCTGTCCCCCAAAATGGTTCCGCCTCTGCTGCAGCAATTTCCTTCTTTCCCCAACCACCCCCTCCCCTCCTCCAGCCTCCACCTTGACCTCCCCAGTGACTTGGGGGGGGGGGCGGCCGAGCGATGTCCTCTTCTCCCCACTAGTCCCGGCTCCTGTTCCTCCTCTTGAAGAAGAAGAAGGGGGTTTTCTGGGGTGGTCCAAGCAACATCGGCACCTGGTTCTTGTGCGTGATCTTGATCTGAGGAGGAAAGCAGGGACTTAGAAATGGTTCCTGGCTGGGATGCAGCAGCCAGGGCTGTATCTAATGGAGCGATCAAATCTGTTTCGGTCCCTCTGTTCGTGGACGCTGCTCCACTGCTCACAGCTCTGTGGCTCCACAGTGCTGAAATGAGGCACTTGCACAAGACAGAGATTTCTTTCAAAGGCGGAAATAATCATTTTCTTTCTGCCACGGACCGATATAACTGTTTTATAATAATAATACACTTTATTTTATACAGCACCTTTAAAGGTGGCTTCTCAAAGCGCTTTAAAGGACGACAACAACAATAAATAAGAAGAATACAAAAGATTAAACACAATTAGAATACACAGAGGAGACATGGAAGGTGGTATTAAGAAGAGCAGAGGGGTGAAGAATGGAACCAGTTCAGTAAAGGCTCTTCTGAAGAAGAGGGTTTGGAGTCTGGATCTGAAGGAGTTTAGAGAAGGTGACTCTCTGGTATCCTTGGGGAGAGAGTTCCAGAGCTTGGGGGCATAGCAGGAGAGAGTTTTCTAGGTGTTACGTGAACATGTATCATGTGTAGAGAGAAGGGGGGGGCTCAGTCATCGCTCACCGTGCAGGGGGGCTGCATCCAGGGCTCTCCGTCGATCTGCATGGGCATCAGTCGGGACGTCCTGTCAGGGAACAGAAGGTCCAGGAGCTCAGAACCATGCCGCTCTTTTACTGAACTCATAGCTCACGAAAGACACCATTTGAAATACCGATTATTATGAAGACCCATATATCAAAACCGAGACGTTGCTGTCAACTTATTTATTGCTGGTCTCTTTTCCCCGTTTCAAGATGAAAATTTACTGTATGCTTTTTTTAAAGTATTTCACATTGGCTACATAAAATTGCAAAAAATGCACAGGTGCAGCAATTTTCCCCCCAGTGTTTTGTATACAGTTAATAAAGACAGTGGCAGCTGTATCACTTGTAACACTGATACCTTCTGTTCTGAGCACTGTCCTGCAGTACATACATCCTGCATGTCCCGTATGCGGGCCTGTGTTTGTTAGGTGGGTATTCCTTAGTCCTTTTTATTACTGAACATGTATGTTTTCCTGTCTCTGTTTGAGTTCGCATCTTATTAATCTGCCAAAACGTTTAAGATGACAAATCCAGCACTCTGTCGTCTGGGTACCTGTGTCTGTAAGGCCAGTGCAGATGGCACATGTTTCCCAGAACCCCAGAACAAAACAAGTTACACTCCTCAGCTCCTCAGCTCTCGGAGGATATGAAATGATGTCTGGCTGGTCTCACTGCAGCTAAAATAAAGCTGGTGCTGTGCTGGGAATGTCTGTACTCCCTCTCCTGGCACCACTTGCTCCTGAAGTGTTGGGATCTGATTTATCTGCATCTCTCTATGGCTCAGACCCATGATGCCCAGGAACAGCAAGGTGGGGGCAATTAATCAGCCCCTTAATGTTCTTCTGTTGTAGCCATCTGATATTAGTTTAGTTCCTCGCTGGGGGGGGCACGGCTGATAGGGAACAGGGTTTGAAATGGTTTGTTCTATCCGGTTTTATAAAAATAACAACTTCAAATCACAGAAAGAAAAATTGGTTTCTTCAAACAGGGAACTTTTTGAAATTTAGCAATTTAATTTAGCAACAAAAATTCAAGATATTATAACTTTAAAATCAAACCACGCACACACACACACACACAGACTTTTTGGAGTACAGCATCCAACCAGTGCATCTAACGAGGCCAAACAGCACAGAGGAAGTCAGACTTTTGTGTAACGAACAGGTCGAGCACAAAACCCCAGTGAAAAACATGACCCAGATTACAGCACCAACATCTGCGGCTGAACAGTGGGCGGGGTCCGGCTCTGAGGCTTCTCCCCAAACACACCCTGACGTTTAGAGGAAATGAAGAGACTTGTGTCCACTCACTGGACGCCAGTGTGGTCAACACAGTCTCCCACTGACTTCCAGAGAACATCTCTCCCCTGCTGAACACTGGTGGGACCAGGGAAGCTAGCAGCTTCATCACACACAAAACGGCCTTTTCACAATGTCATCTAAAGGCCATCCTAGGGTTGCAAATATTTCCCCACGGAGTATTGGGCTTAATTATAAAACCCATGGGAACACAGGCCACAGCCTGTTCACAGAGGCCCGTCACAGTATTTGACTGGGGTTCGTCATACGTTGGCCAGGGGGTGCACACATACACCTCTGATTGTGTGTAGTGAATAGGATATAGAAAGAAATGTTTTTTAAAATGTCTTCCAGCTGACTGGAGTTGCACTGAGTGAGGTCTTTCCCTGAACACAGAGTGCTAACTTGTGTCCCAGTGCACTTCCAGAAGAGCTGCTCCCCGGCCAGCGTGAGGGGTGTCGGCTGGGGTGGCGACCGCGCTGCTGACCTTATCGTGACGCTGGCGCACTGGGCTAGCCGCCGGCCCGCGCTCTTCAGCCCCGTGTAGATCTGGCCCATCTCGATTGCGCCCTCCAGACCCACCACCTCCAGCAGCTGGTCACTCAGGTCTGCAAAGGAAAACCCAAATCACGTTTCGGTGACGTCTCTACCGACGGGAGCGGTTTTCACTTTTGCAAGGAGAAGTGCAGGAACAGTGTGAGCGCAGAACGAAGGGGAGAAACGGCGACAGAGCGATACAGAGAAGTGTGAGAGAGGTACAGAGGGGTGCTGGGAAGAGCAGGGAGGACCCGTGAGAGACGGCATGGAAACACTGAGACGGGAGGGCAGGGGAGAGGAGCAGGAGAGGAGGAGAGGAGGGACAGCAACTGCTGGAGGGAGAGAGAGGAGAGGAGGGGTTGGAGCACTTAGACAGAGAGAGAGGAGGGGCAGGGATGTCAGCAGAGAAAGGTTTGAAGCTAAGGGATAGCTGCTAAGGTAACAGGTAAGAAGAAAGAGAAAGAGGGAGAAAGAGGCACACAGGGCACTGGAAAACTGTCTACCCAAACAGGCTTTGGCCAGTAATAACGATGATACAATATCGTCGGTGAGCGCTTTTCAAGAAACCCAAAGGACTGTACAATAGGAAAATAGACTTAGTGAAGTCATAAGAAAGACTAAGTTCCACATTAAAGGCTTTATTGAAAAAGAGAGGTCTTTCAGTGAGTTTCGAAAGTGTTCACAGTCGCAGAGTGTCTATTGGATTTGGGCAGTGAGCTCCACAGACACGGTCCTGCACACAGCAAGGCTCTGTCTCCCAGTGTGTGCAGTCTGGTCTACAGCAGACTAAGAACCCGAGTCAGCACATCTCAGATTAAGCACTGGGCTATACTCATGTAATAAGCCCTTAAAATAGTCAGATGCTAGACAGTTACTATGTCTCCTATGTGAGCAGGACAACTGTAAAGTCCACTCACAGGCAGCCTGTACAATTTACAGAGGATGGGAGTTTGGTGCTGGTGCAGATTAATATCAGTCAGCATGAGGGCCACAGAACTCTGGACATACTGAAGAACCTATTTAGAAATGTACAGGTGATACCACAGGAAGGAAGATGTTAAAGTGTCTAATGTTCATGAAATAAAGACATGTAGCAGTTTTTCAGCAATAGCCAGACAGTGCCAGGGTCTTATCTGAGCCGTGCTACAGAGGTAGGAGAAAGCTATCCATGTGATGTTCTCAACACAAACCTCAAAAGACGACACATGGTCTAAAGAGGTTTAAAACTTCCAATCAAGGTTTTGACTTCACCTCCATCAACAGCAGCACTGAAGTCATCAGTGCTGCTGACACTGGAAGCCTGTGAGCCTAACCTCAGTCACAGTTTATCTTTAGAAAGTTCTGTTGCTTCCATATCTGGATATCAGCCAGACACCTGTGAAGTGCAGAAACTGTAGAAGCAAATACATCTTTAGATGTCATCATCACAGTAGTGACACCCAAGTCCTTGATGGTGAAAAATCTGACCAAGAGGCAACATCTACATATTAAATAGTGAAGGTCCCAGTATAGATCCCTGTGGAACCCCCTGAGAAAGTGGGACAATATCTGATTGAAAACAGCCAAGAAACTCAAAATCAACTCCTGGCAGCCATATAGGAGCCAAACCAACCAAAATAGATATCCCTAGGTATTTTTCCAAGTGATCGAATAGTAAGTTGATACTGACAATATCAAAAGCTGCACTTATATCCAGAAGTAGAAGAAAATTAATTGGCCCAGAGTCAGACGCCATCATCAAATCATTAACTCCCTTCATAAGAGCTGTTTCAGTGCTACGTCTCTAACTATACCCTGACAGAGAAGGTTTGGAGAGCTCATTAGATACATAACACCATTATCCCTCCAAATGCATTCCAGTACAATCTCTTACTTACACATTCACAGACACAATCAGTTCATGGCAGCGAAAACTAAAGCTGACTGCATAGTCAGCAACATTACCATCTCCATAAATAGGTATATTTTTGAAGTGTTTTCAAGTTGCAGGAGATTAAAATCCATCACTTCCCAGCTATTAAAATGTGCTGTCACTTTTTGCACAACAAAGCTATTTATTTGAATGTATGACCCATATTCTGTCTAATAGAGCACATTAAAATATGCATGTTCAATCATCCAGCCCTGCCTGCAAGCTAGCTAGCAAGTTCTGCAGTAATCCACACTGTGCTACAGCAGCTGCACGCCTCCACAGCTCAGCTTGCCTTGTTGATTAAAAGTGTTTTTTCCTGTGATAATTAATCATAAAACATAGCTAATTATCACATTGAATTCCTGATAAAATGGCATTTCAACATTCCACTAGCAAAGTGCATGGGGCAAGACCGGTTCAATTTTAGATGTTTTGTCTCATTTTTTGAGAATACTGCTTGCGATCTGTTCCTGAAAGAAAGGGGAGACTATAACAGGGAGTCTGGCTGTCTGTTTGTGGGTGTCAGGCTTCTGCCACACACCACATCCCAGTCCATCAGAAGTCAAAATGGGTGTCTCGCTGTAAACAGCCCATTAGGACTAGTGCCTCTTTACACATTCTGTCAGCGCTGTTCAATCCGAAAGGCAGATTGGAAAACATTCTGGAATCGCGGAGCTCAACGTGGTTGCTTTAGGGCCAGTGCACACTGGGTATATACCCTGCTAGTAAACATATACACACAATCATCCCACATAGAGCTGACTGTGAAGCTGTGCACGCGCTCATCCGAGTCCGTTTTCATTTCTTCGGGTCTTGGGCTGAAAACTTCCCTGTTGGCATTTGTGACTGGAACGAAGCCCCACTAGGATGATGTATGCAGGCGGGTAATGAGGGCTGTCTGCAGATCAGTGAGGTGCTCCCACAGTTCCTGACGGCAATGTGTGCAGCACTAATCCGCACCCCTATCCTACAGTGTACAAGCAGACAGGCTGACAGGCACCTCAAGGTGACTTCTTTAGAATCAAGCCAAGCTGAAGCCACAGGGGAGCCAGTGAAAAGCTCCTGGGAGTGGTCTTGGGCTGGCTTCACGCGCATCAGAGGCTGAGATCCAGAGGCTGAGATCAGCAGCGATGGGCCACCAAGCCCAAGTGTTTTAAAACCCGTGAAGGGGAACAAAGGAACGAGCTGATGCACAAGAAATACACAGGTATTAGCAAAAGGTGGATAAAAATAACATGATTGATGAAACGGACACATCACTGCAGATGAGCACATCTACACTAAACCCTAGAGCGCTCGTCTCGAGACTCACGACTGCGTCTCAGCCTCACTTCTTTGAGAGACCCCCCTTTCTCCCCCAGCGCTGTCATATAAATAGCTGTAGTTTGTCTTTTCTCTTCCAGTGCTGCTGATACTCTGATGGCTGCCATGACTAAGACAGCTCTCACTTTTGGAAACACTCCCCGGTTCTCAATCAGTTCGCTGTGCTGCGCAGTTTGTCTCACTTAAGCAGGACTATTAATAGACTCTAAACCGTTTCTTACATAATCCTACCAGGACACTTTCTGGCACTGATCACAGAGCTTCGCAATGGCTGCTTTATCCCACTGTGCTTCAGGCAGTAAACCTGCTGAAACCAGAAAACGAGGCCGAGACCTGCTCTGCGGTGGTCCTGTTCGTAAGGGTTTATTTGCCTGGTCAGGGAGGGCGAGGGTCTGTAGCAGGAGATTGTACTGGGAAGTGGAGTGGGCACACTTGTCCGCTGGGCACTGCCGACAGAGCACAGGGTACACTGGGCACTAGCGAGCGTGAGGAGATTTCTCTGTAGCACACCTGTGGACTGTACAACCTGATGCTTACCTGGTGTGCCTATTTCTATGTAAAGGCAAGTGTCTTTTAAGTCAGTAACTTTCACTTTAAGCCTCCTCTCGGACACAATTCCGAATGGAGCTTTAGTTGTGCTAAAGCAGTTGTGCAGAGGTATTAATGAGGAAGCACAGGAGCCTGGAGGGGCTGAGCGGGAGGAGTTAAGGAAGGCTACGATGGGAGGAAGCCCAAGGGTAGAGCGCCCCCTTCAGGGGGGGGGGGGGCTGTCAAGCAGCTCGCGGATTTTGAGAGCTCACTGGAGACTCATCCTACTTCTCCTATCTCTGGAGCACCAACGAGAAGAGACCCTGTCCCAGTCATGAAAGATTAACCTGTAACATGCCCCCTCATGAGAGATTAGCCTTGTAAGTCTTCATGGTGCAGAGTCATTCTGCCCTGTCTATAGGAGGCAGCAATCTTCCTGCGCTCACAGCTCCTCACTGCCCGGAGGAATGGCAATATCACAATCTGCTAGGGCAAATGTGGAAGCTCAGTGTCGCAGAACCCAAAACCTTCATTACTACGGCTCATCATAGCGTTGTCATAGTTTAGGGAAATAAAGCTCAGTGAAAACACAGTAAATTTTGTAGGAGTAATTGTAGCAAGAATTGTACCAGAAAACCTTCATACATTACAGCTTCTTTTTCCATTTCTTGCATGTTTTTAAAAATCCAAAACACTGCGTAAAAGTAGATGCCTTTCTGAGCTCAGTCTCCTTCACTTTCGTCCTGTGCCAGAGAGACAGGAGGCCGACACACCACCACCCTGGCACTAGTCCTGCTTCGAGAGTGCTTATACAACACTGTCCGCACCGTCACGCCTGACAGGCTCCGCGTCACCCTTGATACTCACTAACATGAGGCCTGTCCCTACAGCGGCAACACTGTAGGTTGACACAGGAACAGGGCGGATTGATGTCTAAATCAATTTGATCAAAACAAGGGGAGAACTGTGAGGTGTGGATAGGGTTGAATTGATAAAGCTTTCTGTGGGCAGAGGATTGCATTTCAGAGAAAGCATATCGGCGGTGTATGCTTTTCATATACGGTCTTACTGTGCACCTCTCTTCCTTTTGTGGGGCGCATTTTGCCACTGCATTTGTCCCAGTTAGGTTTCTGCAGGGATTAAACAATAAATATGTGATCTCTCACATAATCCACAGCCCCACGCTCACAAGGCCCCCAGCCTGAAATAGAACCACAGTGTCTTTATGTGACGCAAATCTATTGTCAGAGGGCAGTTTAATTATTACCAAGGCTTTTCACAGAAAGGCAGATAGTTTGGGCGCTGGCCAAGCGGGCAGCTCTGCTGCTCTGCTACTTTCTTAGAAGATGCGGGAGAGGAAGGAGAAGGCCAGGGAGGGCTGGGAGGAGCTGTAGTGCCGACATCCTGCAATGATCTCTAGAGCTAGAGATCTTCGTTTTCGGCTGCTTTGATTTTTGACGTAGATTCCCTGGCAAAACCAAACTCGCAATTTGGCTCCTTATGGGTTTTTTTGGGGTAGAAAACCTGCATTAGGTAACAGAATGCACATTCTTACACTGCCAAATGACGCTCGAACAGATCAGACCTTGACAGAATCCTGCCATGACTTCCTCTACATGACATCTGATATCTGATAGTGCTCTAGAGCCCATTCTGATGAACGTCTGTGAAAGTGACTGAAAGAACACTGCTTTTAAAAGGTCCAGACAAGTAGTTTTCGTTATAAATGTTTTTTACACAGCTATCTATTTCAGCCCACTTACAATCAGTGAGCAAATGTAGGACGTAGAGCTCTGCGTTTGGTCTGTCTAACAATAGCAACTGGAACAAAGTGTTTGATCTTAATAACTGCAGCAGGAGATGTGCACGATCATGGTAACCATGACAGATAAAAACAACTCATGCTCACAGCCATGCTCTTTAAAGAGCAAGCCCCAGGTTTTGTTTTTTTTAAGGATTCCAGGAAAATAAAGGCATTTGTTTTTAATAAATGATCAGGATCCTGTTTTTTGAAGAAATGACTGTGCTTTGCCTAAGGTTTGCACAGTTTTCTGTGTGGACTGCATGATCTTAACCCTTCTCTCTGTCTCTCTCTTTCTCCCCCCCCTCCCCACCCAGCAGTGAAATCAGAGATGCCCTTCCCAGCAATCTGGGTTTCCGAAAGGGATTACAGAGAAGAGCTAATGAAATAAACGCCTCTTCCCCTGGGAGAGAGGCAGCGTTAGACTGGAGCGGGCCTCACAGAGCTCCCTCAGCTCTTCAGATCCCCTCGCACACACACACACAGGCCGGATGGAGCACAGAACCACGTGGTGTGTGTGTGTTTTTCACTTATCACGTTCTACACACAAGCACAAGCACATAACGGCACCATTTGGAAGGCTTTGTTTCTTTTTCACAGGGTTCAGAATGTGTTACTGTTACTCTATATTTGACACGGTGTTAGTTATGCCAACGCAGAATATTCAGACAGTAAGAACCTCCTTATACATAGACTATAGGTAGGTAAGTAATTGCATTAGAGTCACCGGCAACAGCTCATTGGGCCAGAGCTCATCCTGTCTTCTAGGTGTGAAGCGATCTGTAAGCACGTGACTCCACTCATGGCCTGGACACCAGTCCATCACAGAGTCTTCCCCAGCGGTGCTGGTCCCCATTCAAACAGCTGGGAGGACTGGAGCAGCTGGGGTAAAGTCCACTGAACAAGAGCCAACAGCACTGTCTGTAGCAGGGACTCGAACCCACAACCTGTTACATATAATGTTACACATTATCATATGATAATGATCAAAATTTGAATCCAGCATCTAGGTGCCATTGTTAACCCTGACAGTGGAATATGATCTCTGAATATTTCTGGTAGAGAGTTTTGGCAGATTTGCTGCTAATTTAAATATGAAAATAAATGGCAAACATGCAAGCAGCACGCCCAAAGAATGCCATGGAGGAAGAGGGGCAACAGCAGAGGTCTTGAAGATGAAAGATGACAATCCGAGCTTAGCTGATCACCAGTAAAGTGGCCACTTGTGTTTTTTGGATCTGCTACTACTGAAACAGTTGGCTGTGCTGAATCAGCGCTGAGTCAGCCTGCTCGTTCCAAGTGACATCATTGCAAAAATCTTACTCTGCAGAGGAACAGTGACCTGGCTCTTACCTAGTTTAATGGACCAGGGAAGAACCGGGAGAAGAGACTAGAGACAAGAGACCCGAGGCCACAGCCCTGAGTGGATGGGTACCAGAGGGAGGGACAGCCCTGAGTGGATGGGAACCAGAGAGATTCCACAGCCCTGAGTGGATGGGAACCAGAGAGATTCCACAGCCCTGAGTGGATGGGAACCAGAGAGATTCCACAGCCCTGAGTGGACTGGGTGGTGTAGTTGACCAAGCAGTGTAGTGAGTAGTGCAGGGAGGTGAACAGGTACAGCCGTGTGGAGTGTGGAGGGGGTTGACTCTCATTACAGTCCCCCAGGGGTGCTCGCCACTCTGCTCTTCAGTCATTCATACCCCTCTGCGCTGAAGGAGTGTTCTGTGGCAACACGACTCTTTTTGCCACTGTGGCAAGACGTCTCTATAAAACATCGACTGTATGCTTGTCCGACTGATTGATGTCTGGATTACACTGGAAACGCGTGCACAGAAACGGGCATCTAGGCCCCCTGGCCTATTGCAGGTCAGTTCTGCAGCAACGCCTGAGGGGAGGGAAAGATTAGCGATATGAGTCAGAACTGGCAGCGGTCCGTCTCTCTCTCTCTCCCTCCCTCCCTAGTTCAGTAGGACCCTGGAGTCTCCATGGAAACAAACTCAGCTGAGTTTACGCCTGCAGTTTGAAGAGAAAGGAGAGAGGGACATGGGGGTGGGAGGAGGTGGGGGCTGTGCAGAGAAAGGTGTCAAGGTAAGGGACAGAAACAGGAGAAGGAGGAGAGAGAGAAAGAGCGAGAGGAGACAGGAGCAGTTAACGGAAACAGGGCCGCGCGGCGGTCTCCGGTGAGGGGGAGGAGCAGGAGTGAGGGGAACTTGGGGTTCGGACGGGCCGTCTCCTAAAAACCCTCCTATCACTCTCTGCTCTATTCTGTTCAGGCAGGAGCCCGGGAGAGAGGATCTGTCAGCCAGAAAAGAGTGTGTGTGTGTGCTGGGGTGACATTGGCTGTCCTGTCCTGTGGGAACTGGTTCAAGCCCTACTGTCCCCAGATTTACCCTCTCACATCCGTAAACCTACCCCCCAGCACCATCCTACCATTCTCTGCAATCCAGAATTCACAGAAGGCTTCAGCTCAGACATGGCCCAGCTATTTGTGATTGACCTTGATAGCCTTCCTGGTAAAGTGGAGCCGTTTATAAGGGAATGTTAGTGGCACGTGCCTTGGGCATTTACTCCCGGGGGGTCCCGTCAGTAGGCAGCAGCTGGGGAGATACCGACTCAGGTAAAGCTCCCACTCCCAGCCACTCTTACTGCCGAGCTGTCGGACCAGCCCTCACAAATAAAGCAGAACTGCCGGCTGACATCGGGATCGAGCCTGAGTTGACGTCACCATCGCCACTCCTGCAAGCTGCTAATCGATCCCATCACAGCTAGGGGCTCGGGCTGTTTTGAAGAATCCTAATGAGTCATTAGCCTTGATGTGGTCAGATAACATGATCCACATACCCTGCATCATCTCTCACTTACTTGCTTCTCATTTTTTTAGACCCTTTACTTTTTTCCTTTATTTTGCCTGACAATCAATTTCAAACATATTTTCCTGGAGACCATTTACCGTAGTAGTCTCAGCGAACAACCTTGCTGACACGCACAGATACAGTGTGAAGTGACCTGGGATTTGAACCTACAGCACTGCGGAGCCCAGTTTGGAGCCCCTAACCACTCTCCCACATTGAGATTCAAGGAAATCCATTCTTAAGCCTTCTTTTTCCGGATGCAGTTCTTTTAAACTTTGTGAAGCTGTAGGCCTTTCCACAAGCCAGGATGGCTCCCCATTTACACTTCACACATCAGCTACAGGAACGCATGCACATACTCACCCTGCACGCAGAATTTGAGCTCCTTGGCATCTGTGACAGTGCTCACTGGCGCCCTCTCTGGCACCTTCTTGCTCATGCGGTTGTAGTTCCGCCTCTTTTTGGTTTCGCCCCACAAGTTGGAGCCGCCATGCATGCTGGGAATGTTGAGGACAGCGATGCCCTCCAGAGACGTGCTGCTGAGGTCCAGGATAATGCCATCACACTGCGGACAGAGAGCAGGGGACGAGGGCAACGAGAGAGTGGAGAAAGAGAGGCGAGGGGAGAGAACGAGGGAAGGAAATTGACAGGAAAAAAGAGGGAGGAGAAAGGAAAAAGAGAGGGTCAAGAGAAGGTTAAAATAGAATAAAAGACAATGTGGAAGTTTCAAAAATCTGAGCTTAACTCTCTTATAAGCACCACCCTGACCACAGTATTTTCAACAGCTTATGTAGTCTTTCCTCAACTTGCTGATAACAAATTTGCTCCCTTATTTAATACTAAAACTCTTATCTGGTGGCCAGTTTATGATGAACAGACACGGATGGGGATGATAATGTGTCAATGCTCTCACAGTGAGTGCTTTTCCTTCTGTTTATGTCCAATTGATCACATTGCAGCTCATAGACAGGAATGAGGGCCGTTCTGAAATTCACACTTTGGTACAGGGCTGGAAGCCATCACAGATACCGTTCAACCTTTTAAGAGAGGAAAGCTGAAATCATGTCGTCTGTGGCAAAGAGCTGGACTGGATCAAACACAAAGTCCCCAGGACCAGACTGAGATCCACTGCACTAGTGTGTGGTCTGTCCCCACCCAGATGCTGTTTAGATCTGCAGAAATGTGTCAGATGCCCTTTCCTGGGCTTTGGCAGGTTAAATAACATTTGAGTGTAGAATGAGAGAGTAGAATAATTAGATTAACTTATTTTACTTCTTGTGTTAGGTTGCTGGTTTATTTCTTCATTCAGCTGGAATGCTATTGAGTGAATTACTTTAGAGATGCTGCCTACCAGGGATAGCTCAGCTCTGTAAAACAGAGGAAGAACAAACAAGAAAGAAAACATTTTTTTTTGCAGATCCAGGGCTGTCTGACAAACACGGCTGGATCTCTAGTGGCATTGTGTGGGTACCAGGCGCTGTGTGTTAAAGCCTGTGTCAAAGACATAGTGTCCGAGTAGCCTGCTACTGCCAGTGACTGGTGGAAGAAGGCGCAGGGACAGGCGAACAGGAGACTCAGAGGCAGAGAGGCAGGGGAACCCAGCTGGCCTCACCTCCACCTCCAGGCTCTCGTTCAGCTTCTTGCAGGTGGCAGAGATGGTCTCCGTCGTGCCGAACTCGAAGTACCACAGCTTGTTCTTCATCCTACAAACACAGACAGCTCTCAGGTATGTGCGTGGGACAGGGGGAGAGGCAGCACAGTCACAGATAGCAGTGGGTGGAGGGCTCGTCTCTGGCCTCTCATGTGTGGAGGGTTGTGAACTTAAATCCCAGGTGAGGAACTGCTGTAAACTTGGGCAAGACTGCTTCAGTAAAATGGCTGGATGTTTGAATGGGTAGACAATGGAAACATCTTTGGATACAAGCATCAGCCAATGAGTTTGATAGTAGAGGAGGTGAGGCAACAGGTAACCCTCTGCTGTAAAAGCCCTCCGGGAATATTAGGGAAATAGCTAAGATTGTGGAAACACTGAGCTGAGTTTGTTTGAAGATATCATGATTCCCCTGCAGACTCTAGGAATCTGCAATAAAAGGACAACATATCCCTGCCAATTTACATGGCTAAACTTCCTAAGGTTGTCCTGTTGCCGATGGCCCCTCTGCAGACTCCTGGCTGTGTCCTGGGACAGAAGCCCCCTCCCCCAGCCTTGCTCGGCCAACAGCGCAGGGGGATGGGAGGGAGGTGAATGAGGCTCAGCTGCTCCCCAGCTCTCTGCTCATGCTATCACATTACAAGCACTTCAGACACATACAGACACTCTGGAGCACCCCAGCCCTCCCCGATGCTGTACCGTTCCCACCACACTCAGCCTCTTCCGGCAGGTGCAGAGCACCTCCATGATGATGGTGAACCTGAAAGTGGGTCAGTGACCCAGTTATCGGGGTGAGCATAATAAGGGGGTTGGGGGCTGACTGTCGCTCGATATTCCACAATATTGGACTGTCTCTCTCCCCAGCTTCTATTGTTCCCATTCAGCTCACGAGCGTAAAGAGTTTTAGGGAACAGAATACAAGAGACAGAAGCAACCTCATGGCTGAAACGTGGCTCCCAGAGAGCGATGGCGACAAACACAACAGTAGCGGACACACAGGTTTCCAAAGAGACAGTGTGAGTCGAATCACTGTGCAGTGAAAACAGCAGTCAGGTACGGAGACAGTGGGTGAATCACGTCCCCAGACCTTTATGGGTCAGACTTCTGATAAAAACATTCAAAAGACATAGCTGTTGGTATGCTAGTGTGCTACAGACCACCAAATCCAGACATTAGTTAAGATTACATTTTTTAGAATGAGTTTGGAAATATTTGTGCAAAGCAACACGTCATCATGGGTGACTTCAGCTTTCCTCACACAGCCTGGAAAAAACCAATAGGAACGTTGGTGTTCAAGGCTGAAACAGACATGGCTAAAGACAGCCTCCACGCTCAGTCTGTCAGAGCACCCACAAGAGGCGGTGAGTGTATCGACCCCGTCTTCTCAACTCATCAGGATAGAGAGAGGAGACCCGAGGTGAGAGAGCGCCCCCCTTTACCCCATTTGGGATTATGGTGGTCATGACTTGCCGCGCTTTGAAACCGTGCAGGTGAGTCCGAGACAAAGCAGTACAGTTTTTAAAAAAAGGCAGACTGCAGGAACAAGACAGAGCTCAGGAGAAGTAGAATGTGGGACAAGTCAGGTCTGGAATCGGCACAGGACGGAAGGAAAGAGTCTGAAGAAAGTTCACCTGAAGCATAGAACACACTTCTCCCAAGACTGAAATCAAAGGCTAGAAAAGCAGAGTCCCCAAGGTCTAATAAACCAATTCTGAAAACATACCAGCGTTCGAAACAGAAGAGCATCCAGTTAAAGAAAAGAAATGTAATAAGTGTCAAGCATGGGGAATAAAGAAGACTGTGAGACACATAGAAAGGGATACTGAAACAGAGTCTAAAATAAATAATGAGTTTTTCTCAGTAGCACAACATCAAAAGAGAAGTAATGGATGAAGTAAGTAGTGTCTCAGAGATAATGGGAAAATGTTATATGATGAAAGCTGAAAAAGGCTGATGCACTAAATGCATATTTCACTCAGGTGCTCACTAAGGCAGAAATCGACAACGTGCTGCAGGCTGAGGAGAAACAAACTACAGATGTAAGATGGGAAACACTGAGCTTGAGCTGCTTGTGAGAGACATGTAGGCATTCACTTTGACACATCCTTTATATCCTCCAGACAAAAGCAAGTTAAATGCCTAGAATGTGGACAAGAAAGCGCATTGCGCACTACAAAGACCCCGTTTAAAATATTGTGTACCATTTCAGTCACCCCTATACAAAAAAACATTTTGCTGCTGTGGGTTTAAAGGAATGACAAGCTAACAGAACCAAAATGTGTTTAGTCCTGAAACTTGATCCAAGTATTCGAGAATCCTCAAAGACACCGACAAAGTCAACCCAGCGGATTTCAGCATCGATCCTGAAACTCACACCAGGGTTCACAAGTGGCAACTGTGCACAACTGAGCACAGTAGGCACTTTGTTGCACAAGTATTCAAGGGAGTCTGAGACTAGCTATCCAACAATGCTGTTGAAGCCAGTTTCCTGGCGTCTTTCAAACAAAGAGGACATCCTTCACTGGCTCCTAACTACCAAATGGGTTCAATAAGTCAAAAGGACACCTGTCCCCTGAAAATGTGTGTTCTTACAAGAACACTGTTTTCAGATTATGCCTTGCACCTGTGGCAGTGTGAAAGATGGCAGTGCTACACTGCATCAGCGAAGGCTGAATATGTTTAAATGGGAGCTTGGTAACCCATGGTGATTGCATTCCTGATTAATAAAATGCATAATGAAAGCAAAGAGTTGAATCACATTTTTGGTGCATGTTTATTTGGACATGACGAACAAGCTGAAAAGAACACGCTGAACCTTCAGGTTTTGATACCTCTGCGCAGGAGACTGACTTTTTTTTTCTGATTATCAGGCAGCGGAAAGTCACACTGCTGCAGCAAGAGGCACAGCAACTGAGCTGCTCTGTTTTTGTTTGTCCAGTTGTATCCAGGTGGAAGAGATCGAGGCACCAAGCAGATCAGAGAACAAGAGCTGCAGTGTCTCTTGTTCCCTTACAGCTCCAGTGTGGCACACTGGACTCCAGCCCTATCCACACTAACAGTCTTATCCAATAGAAAGTCCAGGACCATCACATGAAATGCTTCGAAACTCGGGGCTCAGCAACCTAAAGAAAGATTTGGCCACATATTTCAAGGAGCTAAATTGATTGGGGAGACTTTGCAAAACTTTGAGCAAAAGCCAGGGATCTAGACAGAGAGATTCAGTCTGCATAGAAGGAGTGTGGTGCAAATATTGCTCAGCATGTACTAAAAAAAGAAAGCATGCTTAATGGCAAAGCTGGGGATTGATTACAAAAGTCCCCTTTGGACTGTGTGAGCCAAGGCAGCTCCAGTGAGAGAAATAAAGTCCTTCTTTGACCACAGAGAAAGGAACTGAGCCAGCAGGCGCGACTGCTCTCAATCGCCTATTGAGAACGGCACAGAGCGAGGACCCAAAGAGGCATCTATCACTAAGCAACTTAAAGTGCTCAGTTCTGAAATGTTAATTTGAATGTCAGTTGACACAGCACGTGAAAAGCAATCTGAGGATCTGAGAGCCAGAATATTCATTCTCTTCTTCAGCAGAAAACAAACCGAGGAAATTAAAAGTATGCTGGAAAACGCTGGAAAACCTTTACAACGCGAGTCAGAGAAGCCAGGAAGCTAAGTCCCACTAGCCTGTCTTATTCTTAATGATACAGAACTACCTGAAGATCCCCCTGAAGTCAACTGGTGAAGCAGTGTCTTACTTGTCCACCTGAGATGCTGGTGGGGGCTACACTTCAGTGCTGGGTGAAGTGGGTTCCCTCCAGGATGTGAAGAGCTTTTAGGGTCCTTTGGGAAGAAAGGTACTATTGAAAGGAGAGGAATGAATAATAATCAATGTCGTGTCAGCCACTGACAGCCTGGCGGAGAGCTATCCCAGAGCAGGCCATCGAGCTCCACCCTGTAGCCATGGTGTCAGCGCTGGGAGCTCTGGGAGCTGACCTGTCTGTGTTCAGGAAGCTGCTCGCTGGAGTGCAGGGGGGAAACTGAAGAACGTGCAGCATCAGTGGGCTCAGGAACTGCACCCTACTGGGCGCTGTTCTGCTTAGCTGCCCCAGGACATGACTCTAGCCTTTGTTTTTCCCAGCTGCCTTTATAGATAACAATCTGCCCATTAGGCTAGTTTAACAACTGTGGAGCAGCTCTGTGTTTGGAGTCCGGGGTGTGTTTTAATTGTCCTGCTGATTCTCCCCGAGATACCTGGCTCCAAGCAGAGGCATGTGTGAGGGAGGAGAGGTCTGTGCTGACCCCACTCCGCTGACCACACCCAGCCAGTGTCCGTAGCTTGACACGGACTGAAGGAGGAGATCGTATCAGGTAGGCAAAACCGTGGTTAAGATGCTAATTCTTAACACTTTCATCCTTTGGGATGAAAGGTACTTTCTAAAGGCAAGGAATTATTCATTATTAATGTAATCTCAACCACTGATAGTCTGGTTGATAACTATCCCAGAGCAGGTCAAAGAGCTCAACACTGCAGCCATGCTGGGAACATTGGGAGCCAGCCAGCAAAGGAGAATTTGCAGAGATGTTTAGGCTGGAATGTCTGCAAAGGGTATTACAGTTCTTCCCCGCATTTGATCAGCTTTCGGTTTCCAAACCCTTTCAGTTAGTCACAGGGAATGCAGTGCTCAGTGTTCCAGCACTGTTACACAGCTATGGCACTGCCTGTCTATGGGCACACTGTCAACAGCAGGCAGGGCGGCTCCGCTGCGCGGATCAGGCCTGACTTTCGCAGACTGCAGAGATGCAGGCCATCCTGCATTGGGATGAAGATGGCGCATTCCTACCTCTCCTGTCTTTGGAACATGATTCCGGAATCGAGCCCTTTCAACCACTGTCTAGTTGCAGCTAGGTTACAAGCTCCACACAGAGGAACAGTCTCACTAATGCATTGTGATGTGTCCTGAGTGGCAGACCTGGAGTGAGCAATGCAAAAATATAGCTGGCCATCTTGTATTTTTCCATGTCTCCGATGAGTGTCTTTGATGTGCTCTGTAACAGGGAGATTCCATATTAAAATGTTCAGAACATTCGCTGCACCGCAATAAGACTAGAAAACCAGGGGATTAGTTCCAGGCAATCGCCAGTATCTCAATGGGAGACGTGTTTTGCTGTGACGTGTCATTGCAGCAGGGTGAGATGCTGCTGTTGATAAGCTTGTGGTATGCTTCATCTGAGAAATTTGTTTTGACAGGCTTATAACAGCGCCCGGAGGATGCAAGCACTAAACAAATCACTCAAGATGCAAATGCTTGCGGAGTTATTTAGCTATTTGTCAGGTAGGTATTGTACTTTAACAGTTGCCTAGATTCGATCAAGCTCATTTCCTAGCATGCAGCTTCTTGCACTGGAGGGCAGTAACCTAATGGGTTATGAAACAGAGCTCCACACAGGCTCAAGTCAAATCGATCTTTACCATTCCAGATAGACGCTCTTGTCTAATCTACATAGTACCTTACCATGCATTTTTTTAATTGTATTTAGAAGTTGAAATGGATGACAATAAGCTAAATAGTGTAGTAATTGTTAAATCCCAATTTAATTGTGTGTTTTTGTTTGAGTTCTTTCTTTCCAAAAAATAAGGAAACTCCCTTCCTTATTAATTCCCTCATGTTAATCACGAAAAAGAAAGAAACATGAATACTATATTCCAGTAGGATAAATACATATTGCAGGGGGGATCTCTTTCGAGTTGCAATAAAATATATTTACATTTTCCAACCACTTAATCCAATACAGGGTGCGAGGGAGCCAGAGCCTAACCTGGCAAGCAATGGGAACAAGGCAGGATACACTCTGGATGGGACGCCAGTCAATCACAGAGCACACACACAGACACACAAACACAGATACACACACCAGGGCCAATATTTCCAGAAGCCAATTAACCCACCGTTCTGTTTTCGGACCGTAGGGGGAATTCAGAGCGCCCCAAAGAAACCAAGGCGAACACAGGGAGAACATAAAAACTCTACGCAGGATTCGAACCCAGGGCTCCAGCGCTGCAAGGCACAATGCTGGCCACTGCATCACTGTGCCGCCTTGATACACATTTATATAATGAAACAAAAACCCACTGGGTTTGATACAGTGCAAAAACATTCTTGTAAATGGTGTGTGTTTGTGCGCCAGTTCTAAACAAACTCAAAAGGCCACTGCCTAGCTCTAAAGTGCCCAGCTTTTTAGTGTCAATACAGGCTGGGCCCTCTTGATCTCATCACAGCTGCTGCAGCACTGCACAACAAAGCACAAGTTCACTTCGCAACAGGTCTGTGACACACACATGGCTGCGATCCCCTTGGGGGCTCTCAAAGGCAGCACAGAGAATAGGGGCTGAAATTCAGAGAATGCCTTCTGCATTGTCTTACAGATTGCCGCTATTAGCAATGGGGCTGCTGGCTGGACTTGTCTGGCTGCTGGTATTTTCACAGAACTGAGTTATTAGCTGTTCTCCTCAGAGGTGTCAGCACTCACACATGCTCATTGTTCTGGTGTGTGAATAAGGGAGGTGGGAAGACAGGCTCAGACACACAATAGCCTGATCAGGATCAAAAGACCCACATCAAACTGCCTCCTCTGTCCTATCAGGCTAATACAGGAGGCTGGGGAACTGGGAGGAGGGGAATTTGTAAGGATTTTACCACCTAAGTGTTATACCCACTCTGTTTCCCGGGCCGTTAATCCCACAGTGCTACAATTTGACAATCCTTGGATGACTAGCAGTCACCGAATTAGAATGACCAGAATCCTTTTCATTTTTTCAGATGAAGTGATTTGTGAGGATCTCCACCCCTCACATTACAGACATCGTGGCCGCATGTGGAGGAAAAAAAGTACATTACCCAGTTAAAAGCAGGGGATTGGAGCTAGGACATTAAAAGAACTACTGTACTTTATACTACAGACACGACAAGAAAATCAGTAGAGAGGGGTAATCTTCTTTCTTGGTGGAGCAAGATTGAGTGAGTTATTTTAGTCTTTTTTGTTTATTTAAAGCTACTAATGGTCAGTTTTGTTGGTAAGATTCTCCTCTACCTCCCTTAACCTTGACGCAGACGGAAGTGTGTGGCTCTGTACTGGGTGGCTAGACATTGATGTCAAGTGCTGCTTATAGATTTATCATCTAAAGGGCCCGACATGCACAAAGATACACAGTGTCACGCAGGGCATGCTGCGCAATCCCATCATTCCCAGCTCTCTAGCATCTGCATCTGTTTAACAGGGACTACAGAAACACCATTAAGAGTCACATTAAGACTGGGAAAGCCATGCCATCCCAAACCCACTAAGAAAAAAGCATGATAATCTGGTAAGTAAAACCATTCTAGAAAGTAGTGTCTATGCAAGCAAATATTTCCCAGTTTTATACAGTTAACTGTAATTGTAAGAAGTCTAGTAAAATGTGGATCTCACTGTCAGAAGCAGCACAGACCGCAGCATCACTCCTTCAGCTTCCTTCTTCCAAACAGGGAACAGTCACTGGAGTCGCTGGAGAGCTGTAGCCCTGCGCTGCTCTAGAGCTGGTTCACTCTATTAATGTTCCTAATCCCTGGGCGCACCGAGTGACTCCCACTCTGTTCTCCGTGGAACACTGCCCCAGCTAACACCTTCCCCCTTATTCCGAATTTTGTCCCAGATCCATCTGTGCCTGCATCTATGGAGCCATCAGCCTGGGTGTCTCACTGAGCCTGGAGGCCAATACACCTGATTCTGACTCAGCACGTTACACAGGCTCATGCCTGACTATTCCCCGCTTTCCCTCCAGCTCCCTGCACTCACAGGTAACACTTCAGAGAGCGTCTCAGCATGCACCACCCAGAGCAGGCCTCAGACATGTGCTGAACGACAGGTACGTTCACCATTACACATACACATCTGCACTCTGCACTTTTTGCATAGTCTACCCTTTTTTTTCTCTCCGTCGCATGACGACATATTTATTTATTTTTCCACAATATGTTTATTGTTCCTGTTGTCTACATTGTGTAGTGTTGTCTGTTGTACTGTGCATGAGAGATCAGCATGATTGAGAATTCCAATGTACATGCAGCAATAAACTACTCTACTCTCTACATTAAATCATTACACTTCTAACAACTAAATAGGCATGATAGGACAAAAGGCTTTGATTTGTAACATTTCTTGCATTCTGAGCTTTTGAAGACAAACACTGCTTTGGCAAATGTCTGAAGTCACTGATGATTAATAGCTTGCAAAGCTAAACAAAACATTTTCCTATCAAATTCCACTGTATTGAACAATTAACGATTGTTTCATTCTAATAAAAGATTCGATCCATTGTGAGGCTTCTTCTGCGATGAATGATCTTTAAGCTGCTTGCGTCATTTCTGGAAATGTACCCTTGATAATATGACAGGAAGCCAATTACATAATACTGGTACTTAATGAGAATGTTTTATTCATCATGAGCTCTCTATCACCATCTGATGCTGAGCACAGAAAAAGAAAAATCTCGATGTAAATATAAAAGCAGGAGTTGTAAACAGAAGACAATGAGCTCCTTTGTGTTAGCTGTGAGAAGGCAGATTTCACTGGGTGTGTTTTATCAACACAGCAGCTATTCAGACCTGTACAGACCGAACCCACAGTTCCACCAGGGTTACAGCAGCGTTGGTGAGATTTTACAACATTTTGAGAGTCACAACAAATCACCACCATGTAAATCCACAGGCCTCTATGGGGCCCATTTTGATGAAGACACAACACAAGTCATCCAGTCAGATGTGAAAAAGTTTTGCCATGAGAAATGACCTTTATAGTATTATTTGCATCAGCAAAGAAAAAAGAAACAAGATGCAGTGAAAGTTCATTAATTTAAACTCCTGGCTGGCTTGCCGTTTAAAAGCTTTGTAGCAAGGTGAAATTCTACTTTGAGAGGACATCTAAACTTAGACTGAGAGATGCACAACTTTACCCAGAAGCCAGTGATGTTAAACTCTCCTTTTCTCTTTGCTCAACCAAGAGCCTAGAAATAATGGTCGACAGCGATGACATATTATGAGACCTTCTGCTAGCTATAGTGTAGCTACAGGATCATGTGATGTAAATGAAGTGAAAAGCAATTCAATAAACAGCAGCTTCTCCGATTGCTGGAGTTGCATCTGGTTGCATCAGTCCTTTCGATAATGCAGCAGCTCCAAGGCACTTTCCCCGAAGAATGACATCAGACTGGTGTTTCAAGTTAGCCGTAGTCCAAGCACCTAGCCATGGGATCGCACACGGGATTGATCTGTGATCTGCGATGCGACTAATTGATCTGTGAGGTCATGGATCCCAGCTCTAGCGGATCACCCAGGGTAGAGAATGGTAGTCTAAGTAATTTCACCACTTGTAAGTACCATAAGTACTTTAAACACTCTCCCAAGGGTAGTTCATGAGCACTGAATAGTTTTATCCCCTAGAGAGCTGCTTTATATTCACCAAGGGAAAGGCAAACAAATTAAATTTTTCAGAGTTGCTAGCCCTTTTATCCATTTTCATTCTTTAATGTATGGATTATGTTTGTGCTATAGAAAAATAAAACAGAATGAAGTTGTGATTACCTGCCTTTGCTGGACGAAAGCAACAGAGCCAGATCGTGATACACAGACCAGACAGCACTGGTCATACATCATCAACAACTCTAACCCTAAAGCCCACAGTAACAGAGTCAGATCATGGTACACTGACTGGACAGCGCTTGTACACATCATCTACAGCCCTAACCCTAAAGCCCACAGTGACAGAGTCAGATCATGGGACACTGACTGGACAGCGCCAGTTTTTCCCTGTCAGAGAGACAGATAGAACACCGATATCCATGAAAACCAGCCCAGCTGCCGATGGTGCTGCGTGCTCACCCTGCCAGGGAGGGCTGGGGTCGTACCTGCTGTTGAACTTCTCCGGGTGCTTCTCCCTCATCAGGTGGAAGCGGTGTGCGATGGAGGCGTCCTGCAGGAGAAACAGAGACAGAGAGGCCTCTCAGTGGACAGGACTAAGACTAAGGACGAAGTCTCACATTGGACTGCTGGGAGGTTAGCTGCTGTTAAGAGCAGGGCTCTAGAGCAGCCAGGTGGAGAATTAGGGCCAAACACTGGGTAGTCAGTGTCTTGGTCCATTCATTCACAGGAAGCAAAATTAAGCAGGTCATCCAAGCTGTGGGACAACAGCCATGTAAACACTAAAAAATGAAGGGAACAAAGGAACAATAGCTATATAGGGCAATTTTTAATTTATAGACTTTGAAGGACTTTTATTCAAATGAAATGCTACCTAACACAGTATCATATTCCAATGCCATTGTCAGGCAACCCATTAGTATGTGCCACACTGCTTCGAGGCCTATAAAAATATTGGCTATGACGTCATCATGGATTTCACTGTGGCTCCAGGGAAAGGATTCTCACATGACAAAAGCGCAGAGGTTGTAGTTAATGAAGGCTTAAAACAAAGCTTTAAAAAAACAACCTCAGCTAATGAAGGGGATGAGGTCACCGTAACGGTCTCAGATGATCGGATCAGATAACGGGCTCAGAGAGAGGTGCATACTGGCCTGGGCCACGAGCAAGCAACTGCCCAGTCTTTTACACACAGATGCTTTTCAGGTCCAATGCTTGCCAACACTGCTGGGCAGGAGGACACAGGGGGATTGAAGCCCGAAGGGACAATGTCTCTTCTTATTATTGTGACCGTTCCCCAGACTGAAGGAACCAGCCAGGCCTTCCACACTCCCTGGCTGGGAAGGAGGGAGAGGAGGAGGGCCGGGGAGGTGTGGGGGCGTCAGGGCCCTGCCTGCTGCTACAAGAGGACAGAACAGAGACGAAACAGGACGGGCAGGGAGGCAGAGGAGAAAGCTCGAGGAAAAAACCTCACCGCTGTGCAACAAAATAAAAAAAAACCAGGCGAGAAACAGCGGGGCCCTGCTCCCGCTCGTACTGAGCAACAGCGCGCGGCGTTGGGGATGTGGCTGTGCCCTGGCAGCCCCACGCGCGCCCCGCTGCCCGGGGGGCAGGAGATGGGCCGGCAGATTGTGCCACCTGCAGCCCGCTTCCTGGAGGACCTGCAGGTGCTGCGCCTGTGTCGAAAAATCAGTTACTCTGGCAGTCGGGCCCTGATTCAGCGGCGGGTCGACCCGCCCTCCTCCCATCCGCGTGATTCCCACATTATCTACCATCAGCCAACACGTCCTAAAATAGATCAACAGCCGAACTGATACATCTGTGTGCTCTCCGCCTCTCGTGTGGGAAACAACATCAACTGTAACTGAAGTGAGAGGGTCTGGTGCCGACAGCGACAGATGTTCACTTTAAGCGCACATGGCTGTATAAGTAACGGGCTGCTCTCTCAGTAATAGAGCAGGACTGACCACAGACTTCTTTTTTGGATGAAGGCTTATTTTCTTTCGGGCCTGCCCCGGCTTGCTCTGTGGGGCTTTGTGGGCTGCGTCTCTGGGCGAGATCTGAACCGCGATGTGGTGGATCCTGACTGAGGGCAGGCCTGCTCCTGTCTCTGCTGGTGAAACTGGGCAGCTTGCAGGGGGAACACGTAGAGGGGACAAGTAGTACACTACTACTTTAGTGCATTTCCAAACGGCAATGAGAGGCACTTCTCTACCCAAAGGGTTGTGTGAGTCTGGAACTAACTACCTGGCCACAGTGTTGAAGCCTTACAAGAAATTGACTGGATGAGATTGTGGGATCAAATAACTATGCACTATCAAACAGGCTGGATGGGCCCTTGCCTGTAACCCTCCTTATGTTCTATTAAATCTGCTCATGATACAGCAGTAGAGTGAAGAGGATGGCCTCAAGTGTTATACTACTGAGTGGACCTGATTAGCAGAATGGCCTCATCTCATCTGCAACCTTAAGAACATGAGACCACATGTGACATTTGCAAAAAGCCCTCGCTGTTTCTCAGATCAAGGCCACTTTTGATCTTGTTATTTGAACTGTGGACGTGGAAAAAGTTGCCTGAAAATGTCACCTGCAGCCAGCTGCCTGGGCGACTCCCAGGAAAGAAAAAAAAAACATCCATTCTGCTGGGTGGCCATTTGGTGCCGCTCAATTGTTTTAACATCAAAGCGTGCTGCTGTGTCACCGCTGTGACCACACGGCTCTGGTGTCCACACTCACCCAGAAACGAGGAGATTACGGGCAGAAACCACAAAGCTTGGAGGAGCAGCGGTACGAGAAACGCTTTACTGAGTCACAGCCCCGCTCGGCCCAGTCTCTCTGGATGACACGTGTGATCACAGCCACTGTTTAAACACCTATGCACTGCCCAGCTGATTCTCCTTTGTCGTCTGGCTTTCTCTCCCCTTGATCCGCGATGACCTCATCATTCAATTATTGACTGAACGGTCTATTTTAACACTGTTCTGGGCCTCTAGGCCCTGTGGTTTTGGAGCTCCTTCTAAAGCCCGCAACCAGACAAACAACACGCTAATCTTTGGCAATTTTAAAATAGAAAAAATAGAGCACACAGGGTGCAGAGTCATTGAGAAAGATTAGCTGCTGCACGAGGATCTCCAATGCAGACTGACAGTGCACTTGACAGTACTTGCCCAGCATGGCTCTGGAGCTCCCTCTGTCCCAGGGAGTGAGGTCATGGCTGGTCACAGGGTGTGCATTTAGCAGGCTTGGATAGGGGGAGCTAGGGCAAGGGTTTGGGTTGGGGGGGGGGGATCTGTTTTTTCTCAGAGCCTATCTTTAAGATGGGCCAGGTGTCACTCAGCACGGTCGTTCATTACCAAGGTAAGCTAGTCCGAGCTGGCAGCATGACACTTCCTGTCACTGATACTTCCCCTGACCTTCAGCCCGTGCCAGCAATAACGCACCCCCCCCTCCCCTTCAGCGCTGGAAGTGCCATAGCTGAAGCAGTGCATGCTATCCCCTGAGCCAGCGCTGTAACACAAATACAAGGTTCAAATCCAAGCTGCTCTTGGAATTCTGTGCACAATTAATAAGTAATGAATATGAGAAAGCCTCTGGTAATGCACAGCATTGATGATTCCTGCTCTGGGGAGTAATGCTGATACAGTACATAAAGAAGCCTAATGACTGCACAAAGCAATCACTTCATCTCTAGCCAATAGTCTGGGGTGATTTTGCTGGTAATGCATGGGCTGATGTAATCCTTTTAACAGTTCACACAGGTGGCATCCTACTTGGCCTTTAGGGCTTTTAGGGGAACCTCCTTATTTGGGGATAAACACTATGAGGATACATCATCCTCAGACAGGTTCTGTTGCACATCTGGACCCATATCTGAGAAAACCATAGTGCATCTGACTTAAGTGGCTGATTTTTTAATGTTCCTGCAGTCATTTTTAGGCTACTAATCTAACAACTGCATACAGAGAGACAGGCTCTCCTTTCAGGCAATTAGCTGAGTGATTCCTAGGGATTGCAGTTATTTGATTACGTGCAGACTTGATCGATGTCCCGTACTAAATATCAGTTACCATCAAAACAAATGTTCAGCATGCAGGGACACCGATAACTTGGGATGCTTTGGAAATTTGGTGACTGAAGGACAGGTTTCATGTTACTATGACCTCAGGGACCTCACGATAATCAGTAGTTTTGTTTCTACAGACAATATTGCAATATGGCTTTCATGGCAGGTGAGAAAATAACACAAGCCAGCGCATGATCCACATCTCAGCAAAGCTCTGTTCCCTCCAGCGGATGAAGGCGAGGAGGGAGGGACGGACAGAAATATAGGGATTACTGCAATTTCAGTCACCTTTTACTTTCCCCAAACAGAGCCCTCGAGATCGGAGCCGACTGCTCAGGTGTGACTCAAGCAGACAGGGCCAGCGAAAGCTGCTCACGTGTGAGGGAGCTGTGCTTGAGCCACCAATTGGGCGGCAGTGCTGACCAGGGTTCTGGACTGCGAATGGGACGCTGGTGGGTCAGAATCCCAGGTGCGAGGCTGCAGTTGTGTCCCTGAGTCTTGTTCCACTAAAATCCCCAGCCGCGCTGGTGGCTGCTTTACTGGAGTTGCTCCGGTTAGAAGCATCAGCAGACAAACCCGTTTGTGGGTTTTGCCCACGGGACAGGCAGGCCCAGGGCACCTCTGTTCTCTGGCCGCCCTCGGGCGCGCCGAGCACCTGACACACTCCGGCCTGTGAGCCATGAAAACAATACCCCCCAGTGGAGCTCCTACAGACACATCTTTGTTTTGTTTTGCGATTGTCTTTCTGTCCTTCCCTGTAATGTGCTTCTGAGCTGAAGGCATGAGAACGAAGCTCTTTAAAAACAGGCAGTGGGAGCCACATCCAACCTGCCAGAGAGTGGCCACCAGGGATGTTTGTGTGGGAGGCAGCGTTATGTAACGTCCCCGCAGTGTTTCGCATTCCAACAAGTTAGTGCCACTTTATTGATAATCCTTCCTGCCTTTTTTTTGTCTTTTTCTGAACTCTAAAAATATTTCCTCCCCCCCTCCCACTTAAAGACGGCAAACGCTGTCTTATTTTTACCACGTCGTATGCAATCGCTCGCAAAAAATACATTGTTTTTCATTAGTGGCTGAAAAAAATGACCAAGAAAGTACTGAGGCTTGAAGAAAGATCATTTGAAAGGCGTGTGAAAATGGGATCCTTGTTATAATCCCGTCGCTGATAATTAGTGAAGGAATGGTGCAGAACAGTTTTCTCCTTACATCCCCGCCACTGGCAGAATGAAAGGGAAATTCAAGGTCCCAGGATGTAAATTCACTCGGAGATTAAATAAGGGGATGAACCTTGTTCATTACTAGTTTCACAGACATTAAAGAAGCTGATTTAAAATTGATAGAGTATAGACCAAAAAAAAAAAAGCTTGAGAGAAAATAACATTAGATCTCAGCAATGGTACAGCACTCTCTGCTCGTTTTAGCTGACACTCTGTTTGAGGATTATGAGTGTCAGTTACAGCACAGTAGAAGGAAGGAAGGGTCTCCAGCACATTGAGGAAACAGTTTTCCGAGCTGTAAACGCACACCTTCAGAGTATCCCCGCGCCTGCTCTCCTCTTGGGCCTACGTGGAGTTCTAGAATGCTGCCACATGGCAGGTCAAAGGTCATGAGGTCCACAACACCCTGTCATCATCCCCAGCTGAGCTGATGCTAGGATTTCCGAATGTTCCTCTTCAGGCATGCGGAGAGCGACTGACAGCCAGGAGCTCTCCCACCGAGCCCCAGCTGTCCCTCATGCCAGGCCTGTTGCGTGGCTCAGGTAGGCAGGGTAGGTCATCTCCACTACACAGAGGCTCATCAGGGCCAGAGCTCATCCTGGTGTCCATGAAGTTGAGCGAACAGAGATTATGTGACTAGCCCCCCGGACAGGACGCCAGAGTCTACCCCCAGAAATGCAAGCCCCTTTTATACAGCTGTATAAAGCACTTTGATCAAGATACAACAGCATTGTCAGCAGCAGATGAACCCACAACCTGTCCGTCTTGAGTCCAGAAACTTACCCCCTACGCTACACTGCCCCCATTAAGCTGCTTAGCCTGGAGCAAAAAGTCAAGCAATTAGTAATCTTCTGCCATCACCTGGCCAGCAGGATTACCTAACACTGAGCTAAAAAAATGGTGAAAAGGAGGGCTAACTACATTTTCTCCCAAGCAAAAAAAAAGGAATTGACTTGGTGCTTATTAAAGAAGTGAATGTTATTTCACCAGTGATTCTGTGTTGGATGCTTGTGACCATGCTGTTGGATGGTCATCAGACTTGTGAAAAACTGTTAAACAGCTCATGAGCTTAACATTTCAGAAGAGATCCTGCTGTGTCACTCCTCAAAAAAGCAACCGTATTATAGCTTTCCTCAAACAGTGTAGGGATTGTAATTCACACTTTCCAGCGCAGACACAGCCTGTAATTACCCTTTTTGAAAACGTGTGCAAAACACAGAGAGGAAAAAAAGCTCAGTGAACACGTGAAAGCAGATCTGTTAGCTGCCCAGAGTGTAATCAGTTACTGCGTATCTAGAGAGCAGCTGACATATTCATTATCTGTGGTTACAGCAGAATCCTATGACTGCGTTACAAGAATGCAGCTGGGACTACACTTTCTTATAAGACTAATGACTTTGAACTTCATCTTTGTGACCTTGTAAGTATACAGGTTCATAAAGGTTTGTTTTGTATTAACCCTTTAACATGCAGTGCTACAGTATGCAAAGGAACAAGTAATAGGTTTATTCCATGCTGAAAAAAAGAAGAAAGGAAACACAACGTTTCACTGATCTACACAGGTTTCACTGAACAGAACAGCAGAACAAGAGGCTCTCGTTCTTCATAGTCTTTAGCTAAACACTTTAAACAAGTGGTAGCAACCGTGACAAATGATCTGTCCAAAAAAGAAATAAAATGATTCATTATTTGGACACTGTTACGTCTAATGCACTTTAATGAAACACTGGATTGGTTTCACTTTCTGGAGCTGGAATAACTGCTTGTTTATTTGATGTGGTTGCTTTTTCAATGTCAGGTGTCTTCATTACATTTACAGTTCTTTTTTGTTCATTTCCTTTTTCTGTATCTGATGCGATTATTTACATTGACAGGTCAACATTAACCAGTGCCGAATGAAAACAGAGGGATGACAGCGGTGAGGAAAGGTCGATCGGTATTGACATGCACTTTAAAAACTGACATGCAATCATGGATTCTAATGACCCCACTAATAAGGACCTACATCATTTTCCCCATGACTCTGCTCTCTGCAAGAATCGTTATTTCTCATTTATACACATACAGTACAGATGAATATTTGGTCACTAGGAGGTTCACATGTAGAATCTATTATCACATATTAAAACATGTGTGACTGCACTACAGAAAGGGCTGATTGGGTCTTCAGGTTCTTACCTTGCCTGTTGCAATGGTGTGCTGGTCTGTATTTTCTATATGGAGATGTACTGACATACCCTTGCCTTTTCTGTTCATTTGGGAACATTATTATCTGCAGAGGGGAGATTTAGGAAATGTAGACTAGAATACTGGAGCTCGCCTTTTGAACTGGGAAGCTTCCTTTATTTTCTGTCTTTCGTATTGAGAGAATAGCCCATGAAGGGATTTGGAATTCCTACAACAGACAACAGTCTTATCCAGGGTGTCCTGTTCTTTCAGGACAAGCTCTGAATTGTCACGGGATTGTCTATGGATAAATAGATTCCTACTAATGGAAGGATGGAGTTGATGCACTTAATTCTATTCAAAAACAGAATTTCGGATTGTGAAGCCTCTTATGATCATTATTTATTGTTGTTTTGTCCTAGTGATATACCCTGGTTTGTCTATTGTTAAAAATGATCATCCAGGAGAAGTGAGACTGTGCTGTGCCTAGCTCATGCTGAACATATCCATCTGGGTTTCAGATGTTGCCGGAACTGCTTGTTCATGGCGTAGTCAATGTAGCTGCGCTCCAAACTGTTTCAAAAATAGTATTTAGCTCTTTCTCTGGGGATTGAAGAGTTAACTTCAAAATCCAGCAAAAACTCCCATTGAGAAACTTGTACTTGACCTCCCCCTGCCCTCCTCCAGTTAAATGTGTGTGTCCATTATAGTTATTGCATTACAAGGGAAGATAAAGGGTTGCCAGGCAACCACAAAGTGGCTATTCAGATGTTTTTCAGTTAAAGGAGAATTGCAATAATTAAATTGCCAGTCTGTAATAGCTGGCCTTGAATTTGCATCATGAATCTGCAAATTGTTTTACTCCAGCCTGAGCAAGCAGGGCAGGTGTCTGTCTGAATTACAGGGAGAGCTTTCAGAGTGTTATCAGCAAGTCAGCCGCCCGTAAATCAAACACAGCTTCTGCTGCAGAAATTATGATGAAGTATATGTTTTTAAAATGTTTAAAATACACTGTAATAATCTTTTTTTTGTGCAAGACTGGTTTTTAAAGCCCGAAAATCTGCTGCAGAGCGGGACTCTGCTCGGGACGGAGGAATCACCACACGACAGTCATCTCGCGCTCAGAGTCCTGCTTTCTAATGAAATGGACGCCTTGCTCTGAAACATTCAGATGAAACACAATAATAATTTATGCTCCTTATCTTTATTTGACTGTGTTTTTGTCAAACTGCCAGACATGTGAGAGGCAGACAGAAATAGACCTGAAATCAATCCAAGGTTCGTTCCCTAAGCGGCTGGGTTTTGGGGGAGTATCAGCTGTCCGATAAAGAGCTTCCCGGATGGCCTGGACAGGGTGGCCCTGTCCCGGGAGGGGGACTGGCGAGGCGCGTGTGGACGGGCTCTTACCACGCCGATGGAGAAGTAGTTGTTGACAATGCTGTAGGGGACGGGGTCGCCCTTCTCCTCCTTGTTGTTGGGGATGACGTCGATGCTCCAGCGGTCCAGGACCACCTCCGTGCTGTGCTCAATGTCCCGCAGGAACTTCATCAGGTTCCCTCCCTCGTAGCCTGGAGAGATGGCGAGACACTGATTCTCTGATTCACAGTGGTGTCTGTTTGTGCCTCTTCCCAGCGGACAGAGACACCTCAAGCCAGTAACACCCCACCCCCCCGCGCACAGACGGCCCTTGTATCGCATTATCGCACTTACATACAGGACACAATGCAGTCAAGCCACATCCCCGGACACCACTCCAGACCTCTGTGCACACACACTATCACCCCCACATTCGATATCAAACTCCACCTCCTCACTGGCATCAATGCCTGGGCTTGCACACACAGAACTGCTCGGCCTAGGCATGCTGACGAGCCCTGTCCCACCCCGACCCCCGACCCCTGACCCCCAACCCCTGACCTCTCACCTCCGCCCCAGCGCAGGCAGCGTGCCAGGTCATTGCCCGTACCCAGGGGCAGTACTGCCACAGGAGGATGCCTGGTGTAGTTGGCCTTGTCTGCACACAGAGGAGGAGGAGGAGGAGAGGTTAAGAACAGTTGAAGAACAGAGTCAATAGTGACCCATCGGGTCAATAAGCAGCCAGCAACCAGGAGCTGAATATACTTCATCCATCGTGTCTCTTAAAGGCCAGTTTCCAAAAGCAGAAGAAAGCAGAGGCTACCTTATGTTTACATGGTCCTGTTTTCCCCAGACCTTGTTTTACTGTATTGGCCAACATCTAAAGCTCAGAAAAGCAATTTTATTTCAGAAAATGATGCGTCATATCCATGTGCCAGCTTCCATCGCATGCAAGTACAATGCATCTCTCCTGTGTCTCAGCACTTCCACCATCTGCCACTCCTGGTCAGCAAATTGCTCAACCGTAAATCAGCGCAGGATAACAGGAGTGTGTGGACAAGTCCGAGGCTCATGGCGATAAAGGCCAATTTCTGTCTATTTTAATGACCCACCCTTCAGAGTAAATAAGACAAAAATCAAAATCAACAGTCTATGTGAAGTATTAGCAGTCTTGAAATGTGTCATCGGGAAGAAGGAAGCAATTGCAATTATTCCGCATTATTGCTCCCTCTTCTCTTAATAAGGCTGCACTTCTTATGGATGCCCACCGATGCAGTCCAAGATCCAGCCCACTGTCCCGTCTCCTCCGCACGCCAGCACCCGGAAATCAGGGACATCGTGGAAGAAGTTCAGTCTGTGAAAGACAGAGGGAGAGGGAGAAAGTGTGAACCAGAATCCGCTGGCCTGTTGCTGATGCACAGAGGGCGGTGCGATCGCTGGGCCTGAGCAAACAGACACACCTCTACCTGTTGGCCTCTGTCTGCTCTGATGTGTGAAGGTTGTGCAATAAAGAGGCAGGCCGATGGATGGAGAGATGATCTTTTTTGTATTTTTGCGTTTTGCTTTGATTGGAGGCCTAAATGTCACTTGTCTACTGCAGCACTTCCAGGAGCGCTGCTCCGTGTCCTGTGAGGGGCTGCAAGCCCTGTGATCTTCAAAGGGGCTTTAATCTGGCAGTGGAGCTGCCGGCCGCCTTTAATCTGCCCCTGTGGGTCACCCCACACGGGCTGCGCTGACCATGTGGCTGTGGTATTGCAGCAGCATACGCTGCCCCCTGCTGGACAAGGATCTGAAGAGCTGCATCAATCCAGCTGAGGAATTTCTTCAGACCCAGAGAGAAGACAGGGGCAACAGTGAGGATGTCTCTCAGTGCTCACAGGAGACATCAACATGGACTACCTTCCTTCTGGTCACGTGTTGGATAGGCAGAGCACATGCAGGGAGGGCTCTGTCAGTGTTTACACAGGGGAATCGGCGAAACAGCTTCTCTCTAGCTGCAGGTACAGCACAGGAAGCACAAAACAGTACGCAGCCTTTGGCACAGAGGCGCCGGAGCCTTGTGGCTGTACAGAGCAGACAGCACAGATGTGACGACCTGTCAGGCTCAGCTGGGAACATGTAAAACAACAGGCCTGGTTTGCTGCCTTGCTCAGGCAAGGGAGCGATTGAAGCTCTGTGTGTTTTTCCATATTCAGTCATATCAAAGGGAACGGGCGCTTTGCTGCTGTCCGCCCAATTGTAAGCTTTTCCTCTCGGCTCTCAATAAAGGTTGAGCCAGAGAGAAAGAGGAGGAGGGGGTGGAGGGAGAGAGGCAGACGGGCAGGCTTCTCCTTATATGGCCATGGAGAGGGTCTCGGCACTGCCCTGGCTCTCTGAAGTACCTCTCTCTCTCTCGGAGGCAGGGATCATGCTCAACGCGCTCTTGACGGTGAGTCCTGTTCCTGTCGTGACTGCAGGGGGCAGGGGGGCACTCACCTCTCGTGCCCCCATAAGAGCAGAATGCCAAAGGCCTGTTGTTCGGGATTATATGGAGGCTCAGCGTCTTCCTCTCGTTTTACAAACTAAATGCTCCACTTCCTGCCCTTCAGCTGGTTCCCCTGCAGTGCGAGAAGGGTGTATGCCCAGCTCTGCTCTGCACAACAGCTTAAAATGCATTTGAATTCCTTAGTGATTCACAGGCTCAGTGTTTTGCATATCAGTGAAGGGGAGCTGCGCTGTAAAACTGCTGTTGCCTTTGAAAGCTAGAGCTGAAATTGCACAAATTGACTCGCCAGCAGATGGCCAGCAAGCGGGGCTGACTGCGGACAGCCAGCACTGATCATTCTCAGGACTGGGCCCTGTCATTCGCGCCCCACTGCGCACGAGCTCTGCTCTCTCAAACAATTTACCGACAGTACATCACCTAATCCATGAATCAGTCAAAACCTGATAAAACAAATCTTACTCTGGAAACAAACGGTCTTTAACTCTTTCATTTTTGAAAACCGAAACGATCATTACATTTTCAACATCATTTTATTATTATTTATTAAGGCACTGTCAAAGAGGTGTGCCTATCCAACACAGACAGACAGAAATGTGGCATGTCTTTCATTACCCATATTCTGCACTTTGTAATAATCCCCCAATGATGGGAGATGATCGTTTGTTTTCCAGTAACAGTTCTTTAACATTCGCAGC